GGCCCCGGCCGCTTCTCTATTCCAAGCAGCAGCCCCGGCCCCCCCCGGGACGTGCAGCAGGGCCACGGGAATATCCCCCAGCTCCCTCTGAAACCCTGACGGGTCCGTCAGGCGCTGGGGGCAGACCAGTCGCATGGGTCCTGCCTCCCTGCGGAGGGGGGTGGCATAGGAGAAACTCAAGGTCACCAGGACGTGATCTGACCATGACAGTGGGGAAAGCTGTACATCTCCCCTCAGATCACTTTGCCATTGCTCAGACAAGAAAACTAAATCTGGCATGTGGCCACTATCTCGGGTTCGGTCCTGCACAATTTGAGACGGGGCCATGGGGGCCATGGGCCTGTCTCAAATTGTGCAGGACCGAACCCGAGATAGTGGCCACATGCCAGATTTAGTTTTCTTGTCTGAGCAATGGCAAAGTGATCTGAGTGGAGATGTACAGCTTTCCCCGCTGTCATGGTCAGATCACGTCCTAGTGACCCTGAGTTTCTCCTATGCCACCCCCCTCTGCAGGGAGGCAGGACCCATGCAATTGGTCCACCCCCGGCGCCTGATGGACCTGGGGATATTCCCGTGGACCTGCTGCACAGTCCAGCGGAGGCCCTGGCTGCTGCCTGGAATAGAGAAGCGGCCGGGGCCTTGGACAGGATTGCGCCTATGGGCCCTCTCTTGTCACGTCAGCCCCGACACTCCCCGTGGTTTACGGCGGAGTTGAGGGTGCTGAAGAGGGTCAAGAGACGTCTAGAGCGCCGCTGGAGGAAGACACAGACCGAATCCGACCGAACACATGGTAGAGCCGCTATTAAGGCCTGCATTGTGGCGATAAGAGCGGCGAAGCGTCAATACTTCTTCGCTCTTATTGCATCTGCAGAGTGCCGCTCGGCAGCCCTGTTTGGGATCACCAGGTCCCTCCTCAGTAAGGGGGATGTGGCGGTTCATTTGCAGGACCGCACACAGGAATTTGCAGAGCACCTGCAGGATAAAATTGCTCAGATTTGTTCCAAGTTGGACTCCGAGCGTGGTGCAGGGTCTGGGGAGATACCAGGGGATCGCTCTTGCCTACTTATCTGGGAACGGTTTGATCCTGTTGTTCCTGAGGAAGTGGACAGGATCCTTCGGGCTGTGAGGGCCACCACTTGTCATCTTGACCCATGCCCCTCCTGGCTGGTGAAAGCAGCTCGGGAGGTGACATGTGGGTGGATCCAGGCGATGGTGAATACATCCTTGCAGGAGGGAGTGTTTCCAGG